GGAGCCTTATGTCAGCGCACAGACATGGCAGACATCACCAAGACCTACTTCAGCGAGCCGGGCTCCTACTTCTGGGTGGCTGAGTCTGGGGAGAAGGTGTTGGGCATGGTGGGGTGTCTCCCAACAAAGAACCCTGGCTTGCGGGGGAAACAAGTGGAGCTGTTACACATGTTTGTGGCCTTGGAGCATCAAGGCCAGGGGGTAGCCAAGACCCTGATCAGGACCCTCTTCCAGTTTGCCCGTGACCAGGGCTACAGCGAGGTGATCCTGTCCACCAGCGTTCTGCAGCGTCCAGCCCTGGGCCTGTACCAGCGCCTCGGTTTCCGCAGGATGCACGAGTTCTGGTTCTCTACCATCTGGAGGATTTTGGACATTCCCAGTATCTACTTCATCTACCACCTTCCCTCCGCCTAGGCCTGTGGGGGACACAGCAGTGGGCTGCAGCCTGAGCCCGCGTGTCCATCAGGGCGGATGGACGCTGCTGCAGTGACGAGCCCTGCAGTCTCTGGGCTGGTGTGATGACAGCTTCCCCCTCACTCGCATCAGCACCCAGTGGAGGGACGTGGGTGTGGGGCTTCTACTCCACTCAGCCTTGTTGACGTGTCTGCCTGCTCCCTCTAGTGTCTTCATGATGCTGCATTATAAAAATTCCACATAACAATGGAGAAAAGAATTAAAATAAAACCTTCTTGATGCTAAAAAAAAAGCAAAACATTCTCTGTCTCTATTACCCTGGAGTAGGAGCTGGCTCGTAGCTGACCCTGCAGAGGCTGTGAATTACATGAGAGGAGATCGACCGGGGAGCAGGAACCACCTCGTAGCTGACCCTCCAGCGGCCGTGAATCTCACGAGAGGAGATCGCTCTGGGAGCCTCTGGTGGATTCGAAGTTTCTGGACTCCCTTGTGTCTTTGACCCTCTTCACTCATCTTTTGAACACTAGAGAGACTGGTGGTAGCTGTGCAGGGTTTGAAATGCCCCAGGGCTCTGGCCCCAGCCCTTG